GCTCTGTGCTGAGAGCTTCTTCGTTTTGATCGGACGCATTGAAGCCACACCCAGAGTTGCTTGGCGAGTGAGAACACAGGTTCTCAAGCATAAACATAACCCATCCTTCCTGATACTTGTGCCATTTTCTTTCATGATATTCAGAGACCCTGTTGAGCACCGCAGCGAGGCCGGGAGAGTCGTGATCCCCTCCCCTGCGTTTTGTGTGTGCAGGTCTGAATTTTACGCTGAACACGCAAGCAGCAATTGCCAACATCACCAACAACTCTAACATCATTAGCATCACCAACATCTCTCACACAATCAACATCGGTAGCATCCCTAGCATTTTTGCATCATCCGGCGATTCAGCATCATCATGCTCAGCCTGAACATTCAGTCTTAAATCCTTGATTTTCTGAATTAATTGCATAAGTGGCATAGTTGGCATCCTTGGCATCAGACACATCCCTAACACCCCCCCAATATCTCCCCCAAGCCCCCACCCGCCACTCCTGACCAAAAGATCTTCAGTGCCAAACATGTGGGTCCTTTTTATCTAAGTTTGCAGCCCCCCCCCTCCAACCATCTCTAGCAACCCTGGCGTCAGGCAAGAGCGGCAAGACAATCCATCAGCCGCTGGGATGTACTCCTCCTTCTTGCTGCGCGTATTCGTGCGGCAAGGTGCTGATTTGGCAATCAGGCCGAGGCATCCTGTTGCATTTGTTCTGGACTCAAGACGCCAGCACCAGTCCAAGTCCGAGACATCTATGCAGAAGCTGAATCGAGAGGCCTGCGCCTTGACCGTCCAAGTCGAACTTCATGCTTGGGATTTCCCAGATCTTCAAGAATCCCATGATCCATGCCGGACCGGGCAAGCAGGTGATCCGTGTGCTGGGTATGTTCCGACTCCTTCCATGTCAGCCCTTCCCGGGGCTCGATCGCAGAAATCCACGACCCCGGATTCCCTCTTTCCACCAAAGCAGTGACGCTCTTGGTCGAGTGAGGCTCCAAAAGGGCGGCTCGGCGGCCTGGTTCGGATTCAACAGTTGAGGTTCGTCTTTTTTGAGTTGGTACCTTTTTTGTGCATCAGGGGAAGGCAGACGGAAAACAACCATTCTTGTTTTGTCTTGAGAGCCCAAATTTACGCACGCTGTCCAGTTTGTTCTGCTCAGCTTTTCAACTTACCGACATTCATGTGGATCTTGCAGCTGCTGTGGGGTGAGCTGTGATGGCTTAAAGATGTCAAAACCACTGGTTCTACAAGGACACCATTTTAATAAAAAGTCAGCTTCTGGATTCGATTCGAATTTGTTTAGACACCCCGACATGGTGGCCAGGTCGCCTTTCCCCCTCAAGGGTACCCCAGAAGAGACATGAACCAAAGCAACCACCCAGTGCCTTTGAATTTCTTACTTAAGGCTCGTCAATTCCAGGAATTGGTTGGCTTTTAGGGGCGTTTTTGGAAGACTGTGAGCGCTTTGTTGCTGGATTTTGTTTGATGTTGTTGGTTGGTTGGTCCGTTGGTCGGTTGGGTGGGTTGGGTTGGGTCGTTTGGTCGGTTGGTCGGTTTTTCGGTTGGTCAGTTGGTCGGTTGGTCGGTTGGTCGTTCGGTCTGTCGGCGGTTGATTGGTTGTGTGTTGGTTAGTTGGTTGGTTTGTTTGTTTGCTTGCCTGCTTTCTTGCTTGTTTTGTTTTGTTTGTTTCTTGGTTTGCTTGTTTGTTTGTTTGTTTGTTTGTTTGTTTAATTGTTTGTTTTTGGTGTGTTTGTTTGTTTTTGTTTGTTTGTTTGGTTGTTCTTTTGTTTGGTTGTTGTTTGGTGGTTGGTTGGCTGGTTGGTTTGTGGTTAGTATTTTTCATTGTTGGTCTGTTGGTTCGTTTATTTGTTTGTTTGTTTGCTTGTTTTTTTGTTTGTTCGTTTGTTCGTTCGTTTGTTATTTACTGGTTTGTTGGTTCATTGGATGGTTTTCTTGAATGCTTGCTTGTCTGTTGGTTGGTTGGTTGGTTGGTTGGTTTGTTCTTAGTGTTTTTAACTGTTTGGTCTGTCAGTTCGTTGGCTTGTTTCTTTATTTGTTTGTTGGGTTTTTGGTTTGTTAGTTTGTGTTGTTGTCAAACTTGTTTAGGTTGTTGTTCTGTTGGTTCGTGAGTTTGTCAGTTAGTTAGTTTGTTTGTTTGCAATCCGTTTGGTTGATCGTGGCCGGTTTGTCTTCTGTGCTGTGCTTGTACTTCAGTGCGCCTCTTGTCTCCGCCAGCCACCTTTGGCTCCAGCGCCTTTTTCTTGTGGCCCTTTCCTTCCACGCGCGCCCACGCTGTACGCCCCTCGGCCTTGGCCTCGACGGCCTCAAGCCCGGCCGCGAGTTGTTTTTTCATTTGGACTTTGTATTTTCGTGCTCCGCGCGCCGGCCTCTTCAGATTTTCAGGTTTCCAGGGTTTAAGGGTTGTAATTCTACTTTTCAAGTTGTTAAGCTGCTAAAATTTAAAGATCTTACGATTTTAAGATCTTAAGATTCGACTATGTTCAGTTTCTGCAGGTTTGCAGCTTTTTAGATTGTAAGAAATTAAGCTTTTAAGACTTTGAGATTGTACTAGTTTATGGTTTTTTGGAGGAAATTCGCTTAAGATTCTAAAATTTGAGGATTTAAATATTTTACGCTTAAAGTGTTCTAAGATTGTAAATTTGTAAGATTTTATAATTCTATTTTTTCTCAGACTTTAAGACTTTGAGATTTATCAACAAAGGCCGGCATCCCCAGCATCCCCAGCATCATCTGGATCACCGGCACGGGCCTGCGGACCCAGAAGCCCAAGCCTGAAGATCAAAAGCCGGCCCCAAACATGCCAGAAAGCGCACCCCCAGAAGCAGCGCAAAAATCCGCGGAATTCTCGCCCAGACACGCCCGCCAATCCTTCGCCCCGTAGTAGCGCGGGCGCAGCGCAAAATTCAGTCTTTGCAGGGCCTCCTCGGCATCGCGGGTCGGCGGCGGTGCGGCAGCCCCATAGAGGTTCGGTCTAGAGCCTTGCTCCAAAGGACCAAGGTGGGTAATCAGTTGGCCGCGGCCGGATTTACGCTGCTTGCTCACAACCGGCCGCGGCAGCAGCGCGACGCTGAATTCCACATAAGATGTAAAGAGAATGGCATAGGGTTGTAATTCTAAGTTTCAAGGTTTTAAGATGTTAAAATTTAGAGATCTTACGATTTTAAGATCTTAAGATTCGACTATGTTCAGTTTCTGCAGGTTTGCAGCTTTTTAGATTGTAAGAAATTAATCTTTTAAGATTTTAAGATTGTACTAGTTTATGGTTTTTTGGAGGAAAAGCGCTTAAGAGTCTAAAATTTGAGGATTTACAGTTTTTACGATTAAAGTGATCTAAGATTGTAATTTTATGATTCTATTATTCTCAGACTTGTAAGACTTTGAGATTTCATCAGCAAAGGCCGGCATTCCCAGCATCCCCAGCATCCCCAGCATCATCTGCATCACCGGCACACCAGAAGCAGCGCAAAAATCCGCGAGATTCTCGCCCGCCAATCCTTCGCCTCTTAGTAGCGCGGGCGCAGCGCAAAATTCAGTCTTTGCAGGGCCTCCGCCAGCATCCTCGGCATCGCGGGTCGGCGGCTAGAGCTTCGCTCTAGAGCCTTGCTCCAAAGGACCAAGGTGGGTAATCTGACGCAGCCGTTCGGCCAGTTGACCGCGGCCGGATTTACGTTGCTTGCGCACAACCGGCCGCGGCAGCAGCGCGACGCTGAACTCCACATAAGATGTAAAGATAATAAACATTCTACGGCTTCAATATTTTAAGGTTTCAAGGGTTCAAGGTTGTAATTCTAAGTTTCAAGTTTTTAAGGTGTTAAAAACCCATGACATCACGATGCTGATGATAAGCGTGACGCATTACCAATGCTGCCTCATAAGAGATGATGATGATCGTGAGGATAAAGATGATAAGGATGCGGACACCATGATGATGAAGGGTGATGATAACCATCATGATGATGATGGGTGACGATGATGTCCATGAGGCCGGAATACCAAGCTTTGATCCCTCGAGATGTGTAACCACCCTTCCTTCGCGCCTCGCCCTCACGGACAAGGGGTCGGCGGATGTTTTTCAAAAACCCAAGCAACATACTGACGGGTTCTCCAAGTTTCATTTGGGGGTAAACAAACCTTCATGGAACGGCGGTGAGAACCAGCAAAGAGGGCAAATTGCAGTTGGGATAAACAATCCCCCCATGGAACAACCGATTAAAACCAAAAAGAAGACCATCCGGAAGCGTGAAGTGTCATGGTTTTGACACTGTCTCAACTCGTGGGCAGTGACCTCCGGTACGGGAGTGCCGAGGAACACGCTCGGAGCCGCGCATCCAGCGCGGGGCCACGGAAACGCGCGAGTCCAGGTGGGTATGGGTCCCAAGTGAACCTAGGATATGGACCGCCGCTTTGAGTGCATGTTTTTCCATGTACCAGGGTTTGTATTCAGGGCTCCTTAAAAGATACATTTTGCCAATTTGAAACATGGCTTTTTCCACCAAAATAAAGGGGACCCACCATTGACAAGGCAATGTTCAGGTGTATTCACTGTAAGGATGCCTGCCATTCCACGGCCATGTTGCAAGTGAGGGAACAAGTTTAAAGCTCCTTAGATTTGCCGTGAACTCAGGGCATGCCTCCAACTCAGTCAAGTTTCACATAGCACTTTTTAGGGGAGACCAAAAGGACAGCCACTTTTTGGGGGTCCCGAAAGGCCGACCCATATTAGCCGGGCGTTGCTCTCCCATAGGACATGGGCTTCGTTTCATCCAAGTGACCCGTCCCAAGGATCAGAGGGAAGGCCAAAGCTTGGTAAAGAACAACCCGCTGGATTTTTTGTCAGAGGTTCTGTGCAAGTTTCTGGGTCCTCCAAATGGTGGAGTCCTCGAAAAAGGGCGCGGCGCATTTGCGCTATCAACACTATTGCGGTTGGGCGGCCCATTCGGGGGTTTTCACCGCGACTCCGCGCCTCGGCCGAGGTTTTGTTGCCATGGCGTCCTCCTTCCCAACCAACCAAGCCATCGTCGTGGGCGGCGGGTTGGGAGGCCAGGCGCGTATGTGCAGGCTTCGCGTAAGGCGGCGCTGCGGCTGAGGGATCCAGAACCCTGACCGACAGTATGAGCTTGTCCAGGGACAATGGTGGTTGTCCAAGAGCCCTCTGAGCATACCCCAAGCTTCCCATGATGAAGATTCCTTTCATATGCTCAAAAGGTATATTGGAGATGTCTTGGAGGTTGTGACTTCAATTTGTTTGCCCTCGAATGGCACGACTTAGGGACGGTTCGGCCTTGGATTCGTGGGAGGCATGTCTGCGGCAAATTCGGTGGTGGAGAATGGCGGCAGGGTGGTGCTTCTTGCCCACGCCTGAGTTGCCCAAAGCTCCGCTCGACTCGTCGATGCATCCTGGCCATAGGTGTCCTTTTTTAGGTTAGTGTGGTCAAGAATAGAGGGCACTGGTTTACGGGCTTTTTTCCATTTACCAGGGCCATCAATTTTTCCAACAGGACACCTATGATCCTGGCCCTTGTGCTGAGGACAAGTCCTCCTTCTGCGGCGGAAACAGCACAAAGGCCACCTCCGGCATCAACGGGGCAGGCGGATCTTGGCGCGTCGCTGTTCGCTGTCTCGCCGCTCGTCTCGTCTGACAGTGCGGGAAACGCGATCGAGCCGACGTAAAACACCGGTTGACTCCCAAAACTAAGAAGGATAGGGCAGCAGCCAAGATTCTTATGTTGCTGGGGATGATGTCGCAGGCACAAAGACCCAGAAGGCCAAGGGCATCCCCGACAACGCGGACATTTTCACGCAGGAGTGACGATTGCATCAGGACTTGCAATGGGGGGTTGATCAATATTCCTGGCCAAATGATCACGAATAACTTTTCCCATTTTGTTTGGCAAAAGTCATTTTTTGAGTGGTTCCCTAGTACTGTCGCATATAAAGGACCTTCTGATCAAGCCCGAATTTGATAGGTATCGATTGGTCAAATACTCGTTGAGATTCGAGGATACGCTGAAGGGTGGTGCGAAGAAGCCAGAACTGGCCAAGCGGGGGCCTGAGTCGTCCTGTTTGTCAGTATGTCTACCACGGCAAGGCAAGAGGCTTTAATCTTTTCTCAGCTCACGCAAGCAGTTGATGTCTTGAGGCTCTTGTGCGTGAACAGCGCCGCTGACGTGGCACCTCGGACAAATTTCCTTTGCACTTCTCTTCCAATTAATTAGGCTGCTATGTTGCAAGCTGCATTGCCCTGTGTAGTCTGCCGTCTGCCGTTCGATCACTGAAGTGTGCTGATTCTGAGGACTGGCTGGTGGAGAAGTTCAACTTGGATCTGTCTCTGGTGGCACGCTTGGGTGGCCACTCGCAGCCCCGCACCCACAGAGGTAAGGAGCGATTCCCTGGCATGACCATCACCTACGCCCTGATCCAGATGTTGGAGAAGGCGGGCCGGCAGCAGCAGACAGAGAGAGGGAGAGCGAGAGAGAGAGAACGCAAAAGAGCAAGCGAGGGAGAGTGAGAGAGAGTGTAAGTCGTTGCTGAAGCTGCTTGGTCTGCTTGAGCAGGTGGCGGAGAAGACAGACCTGGCGCGCATCATCACCAAGGCCAAGGTCTTCAAGCTGATCCAGGAGGGCAAGGTCTGCGTGGGCTGCGTCTACGAGAAGGGCGGCCAGAACTTCCAGGAGTTCGGGCCCGTGATCCTGGCCTCCGGAACCTTGATCTGCGAAATCAGTCGCGAGTCGCGAGCCGCGGCGGCCCCGCTTCTCATGACCTCCAAGCGAAGCCCGTTCAGCTTCTTGCTGTTTGGGCAAGATGTGCTGTTTGAGGCATGTGGGGGGCAAGGTACCGCTAAGGGACAAATCCATCATCACCTCTGCAAGTGGCTACCATTCCTGCCAGGAGTGAGATAAGAATCCTCGATCCTGCAGTTGATAGTTGCATGACTCTCGGAGCAGGGATTGCGCAGTACCACTCGCGCTTTTGTGTGCTCACCTACAACAAAATTATGTGGGGCATATCCTCATGATGTCCTATGCAGAACCCAACTTCTTGGTACCCTCGCTGTTTCAAATCTACGTGAGATAACCTTCATTCTCACGCTTGGTTTCCATGAGCAGAGTCTGTCGCGCACAAGGTGCCCGCTCGAAGTTTGAGAATCACTTTGCTGAGGCGGCTTCGGCGCCGACTTCACCAGCAACTCCCTGTTGGCGCAGTACCGGCCGGACCTGCTGCACTTGCCCACCACCAACGGTGAGCACTGCACCGGCGACGGCATCAAGATGGGCGAGGCTGGGTTTGCTTGGTGGCGTAGTTTGATGGCGTAGTTTGATGGCAAGTCCAGGAGGTGGCTCGGCTGCTGTTTTTTGCAGTGCATGGCCCTGTGAGGCCATTGGTGCGAAGAGCATCGACTTGGAGTGGGTCCAGGTGCACCCCACCGGCCTTGTCAAGCCGGACGATGCGGATGCCAAGATCAAGTTCCTGGCGGCCGAGGCTCGCTTTCCTCAAGCGCTTGAGTGTAGATTGAATCATTGGACTTTGTGCTTACACAAAGCAGAGTGTTGGCTGGACGAAGAGCATGTCGGCAGGCTCTTCGTGGAGTGGGCGGCATCATCCTCAACGCGGACGGCAAGCGCTTTTGCAACGAGCTCGGCCGCCGATGACTCAGGGTTGGGAGTTGGTTCAGGTTGAGGTCCAGTTCTAGCTGCATCGTATGTGTGCCAGGTCGCGACTATGTCACAGGGGAGATGTGGAAGAGCAAGCCCCCTTTCAGGCGCTTTCGAACGCACTTTGGTGCAGACCCAAATGGCTGCGTTGCTGCGGGGTTGTGTCAGGCTGTGCCTGAACAAGGCATCATCCGACGAGATCATTTGGCACTGCAAGCACGCGCCTCAAGGGACCTGAAAGCTCACAGCTGAAGATTCCAAACGGAGCTTCCTTGGGGCAGGTTTTGTGTCTGTTTGTCAAGATCCAGCCTTCTAGGCAATTGTTTTCCAGACAGAATCTGGATTTCTTCAGCAATTGGGCGGGGGGGAGACTTCCTGACTAGTATGCACAGCTTGTTTGTGCTTGCCTGCGCCGCAGCTGGTGCATCAGCGATGGGACTGAGTTTTTACCTTCCGAACTGGCAGAACATCGCTAGGTTTTGCTTCGGCATCGAATCCCCCAGCTCAGAAAGGTCCCGCTGATGTCCAAGGCACTACACTGGGCGTGGTGCCCGGAACCCAGCAACGTTGCGTTTGGGTGTGTGTGTGTGGAGGATACCACGCCCTGTGGGTTGTGAAGGGGAAACAAAAAGGCAGCCTCTGTTTTTTGGGTGCCCTATTTTAAGACATACACATTTAGTGAATCGACCGAAGCAACGCCAGAGACATCGAGGTGATGAAGTCCTATTCCAGCGGTGAGGATCTCGCCAAAGACATGGGCGTGGCTCTCTCGGTGATCGAGCAGACGCACGAGGAGCACTACGCGGCAGCGAAGAAGACGGAGACGCAGCCGGATGCAGGCCCCTGGCCTGCCTACCCGTCTGGTAAGTCCTGGGATGAGGCCAGCGGAAAGACTGGCAGTGGCAAGAAGTTCTACCACAACATCATCCCTGGCTCAGCTGTGAAGAGCGAGCCTTTCTATGTGGCCATCATTACGCCCGTGATTCACTACTGCATGGGCGGTCTGCTCATCGACACGGACTCTGCGTGCGTTGGCCCCAACAACACTGCCATTCCTGGCCTGTATGCTGCTGGTGAGGTTGCCGGCGGCGTCCACGGCAACAACCGCCTGGGTGGCAACTCGTTGTTGGACTGCGTGGTCTTTGGCCGTGTGGCCGGCACGGCGGCTGCCAAGTACATGCTGGGCTCTGACATGAAGGATGTGGATCTTAAGCAGATCACGGGCGGTGGCTTGACGGGTGCAGTGGAGAGCTCCAAGTTGGCGGGAGGCTCCTACGAGGACAAGATGAACAATGCTGCTGCTGCAGGAGGGGCAGCAGCTGCCGGTGGCGGCGGCGGTGGTGGCGGCTACAGCATGGAGGAAGTTGCCAAGCACACCACCAAGAGCGATTGCTGGGTCGTCGTTTCAGGCCAAGTGCTCGATGTGACCAGCTTCTTGGGAGACCATCCGGGCGGCGAGCTCGCTATTCTGACTTTCGCAGGCAAGGATGCCACGGAGGAGTTCAACATGCCTCTTGGGCAGCAGGTAGTAGATTGTCTATGTGGTTGCTTGTAATCAACCTGCTGTTGATTTTTTGATTGGCATGGATTGTCCCACTCCGCACGCAGTGGTGCTGCTGCAGGATCCATCCTCCTGATGTGATTGGCAAGTATGCTCCGGACTCCGTGATTGGCACGATTGGTGGCGGCGGCGGTGGGGGAGCAGTGGCTGGAGGAGGAGGTGGGGGTGCTGTTGCCGGTGGCATTCCTATGGAGGAGGTGGCCAAGCACAGCAGCAAAACGGATTGCTGGGTCGTCGTTTCAGGCCAAGTGCTCGATGTGACCAGCTTCTTGGGGGACCATCCGGGCGGCGAGCTCGCTATTCTCACTTTCGCAGGCAAGGATGCCACAGAGGAGTTCAACATGAGACTTGGCAGCCTTCGACTTGCGCCACGTTTGTGGATGCGAGGCTGGGTCGGAAGCTGTTGAGTGACAGGTTCTTTGCCAAGGATTCACCCTCCTGACGTCATTGGCAAGTATGCACCGGACTCCGTGATTGGCGTTGTCGGCAGCGGAGCGCCTGCTGGTGGGGCTGTGGCCGCCAAGGCAGGCGGTGGTGCTCCTTCCAGGCACGGGGGGAGATGGTACCGCCTTTCCTCGCTTGCCTCACGGTCATGCCGCTGGTTTGGAGTTGTTAAAAACACGTTGCTGCCACCCGGATGTATAAACCTTGCGGATCAATTCACCAGCTGAGAATTTTCTGCAACATTGGAGCAGGGTCAACGATTTCCCTGCTTCCTGCTTCGAATCCCGGCGACCATCAGCATCCCAGATATCTCCCGAACCGTCAACCCCACCCCCCCACCAGACATTTCCAGCAACCCTGCAGGAAAGACAAGGGCGGCAAGCTGGCGAACCATCACGCCTGGGGCCACCTAGATGGCGACCTTCAGCCCAACTGGCGAGTAGACCTGGAGGACAACCCAGGCCGGAGCCGAAGCGACTAGGCCGGTGGACCCTGTAGGCGAATCATTCGGCCCCCCTAGCTGCCAGAACAGTTCTTGGAACCCCAGAATCCGTTCTAAGAACCCTTTTCAGCAAGAGGTGCGCTGCTTATCAACGTGAAGTCCTACTTCAATGCCACCTGGTTCCTGCTCCTCTCTGTGCTGTATGCTGCTTTGCGGCAGGTGAAACAGTCTTGCCGCTTGTGTGCAGTGTGCTTTATGCACTGAGGAAGTGTGCGCCACGATTTTCACGGCCAAGAACATCAAAATCTCCAATGACCGGCTGGGACTGACCCGCAGCGCCATTTTGCTGATCCTCTTCATCGTGATCCACGCTGTGGGCAACCTTCACGTTTTCAAGGGTCCTGGCCCGAGCGGTCGAGCGATTTTTGCGGGGGCAAGGGAAAGAAAAGCCGAAAGGGCACCTCATTGGGTCAAAAGTGCAGTATGATCTTGCGACCGTTCCACTTTTTGGCTACCAAAGAAGACTTTAGCCCAGGGGTGTTCCTCTTGGGGGAAACGAACCACACCTGGGTTTAAGTCTGCCCTGGTGTAGCCAAAAAGTGGAACTGGTTCTTTCTAAGTTCTTAGGCCCAGATGATTTCAACGGCTACGGCTACTTCTACGTGCGCTTGTACTGGACGGGCTTTGGTCTTCCTGCCAACATCGTTGAGGAGTACATCCTCTTGTCTGTCTTGCTGCACGTGTTCGTGGGCCTGAAGCGAACCTGGGACATGAAGCTGGCCCTGGTGAATTCGCAGGGCATCAACGTGCTGAACTTGGCGATCTCTGGTCTGATGCTCCTGACCTTCATGACGATCCACCTCTTCCAGTTCCGATTTGGTGACACTGATCAGTTTGGCCCTTACTACGTCCGACCGCCTCCTTACCTCATCAACTTCTGGGGCATCCTGTCGCTGAATCTGTTCTGGACTCAAGACACCAGCATTGAGCCAGTCGGTGTCAGAGACATCTACGCCATTGCCTGAGCTGAATCGAGAGAGTTGCGCATGTGCATGACAATGAGAACTGGTGACTGGGCCGTCTAGGTCAGTTTATAGTTGTTTTCCGTGTCTCGAGCTTCAGGCTTTGGAATTCCAGATCTTCAAGAATCCTTTGTGGTCCTTGTTCTACATCTTCTCCGTAGGCGTCTTCATGGTCCATGCCTGCCTGGGCTGGAAGAAGGTGACCCCGGTGCTGGGTATCCCCCGAGGACACATCCAGAAGGTGGAGATGATTGGCTACGCCATCATGATCGTCATGGGCCTTGTCTACATCTCCTTCCCTCTTTATGTCATGGCCACAAAGCCCTTCAGCGGTCTTGGGCTCAATCGCAGAAGTTTCGAAGTTTCTATCTCCGATCAAGGCCACGAATTGACGCAACTCGCGGCTGAGGCTACGAAGACAGCATTCAGATTCCAGGAAGGGTGGAGTGAAGCTCCACTTGCTGCTTGGCTCTGCGAGAAATTTGGACTTGGGGGTTGATCAAAAGGCCCTTTACATGGCATGACCATTGGGGAAACCACTAAACAGATGATATTTCAACCAGAAAACGGGAGAAGTTACCCAGGGTCACTTTGGGGCCGAACGGAATAAGGATCAACCCCCATTTGCATTTTCCCGGCCAAAATCCCTAGACCCAGCGCCAAGGACAGGCGCGTAGCCTGCGTCAGCTTTGCCCGCCTTCGCGAGGCGGGTTAGTGGGTTCGTGGGAGGTGCCGGGCCAGCTGGAGAGAGGCTTGGTGAGCCCTTCCCCTCCTTGTAAGAAATGGACCCTGCCAAGAAATGGGTGTGGGTCAAGACCAAATTTTCGTCTGTTTTAGTGAGGATTGGGATGTGGGGTAAGGGATTGTGACCCATGGCCAAATGGACCCTGTTGATAAATACCCTCCCACAGCTAACGTGGAAGTGCACGGACCGCTGTAGAAAGACTGCTTTCCTCTTGAAAAGGGGCTTTTGGCACTTCCATGTTAGTTGGTGGGAGGGTACTTTTGTTCTATTAGGGGGCTCCTTGCAGCAACCCAATAACAAATTCTAAATGCATACTTACTAATTTACATTTATGTATTGAGTTGTAATTCTAAGTTTAATCTGCGCCCTTTACTTTTGAACCGCAAAGACGAAAAGACCACCTACGGTTTTTGAGGTTTTCGTGTCCGGGAAGGGGGGAGCCCATTTGGACGACTGAAGGAGGATATTTGTAGTCGACTCCACAGGACCAGAGCATTTATTATCAGCGGGGGGGGGGGGTCCGCGTTTATTAGGGGCAATAGATTGGCGCCATGTAGAAGGAAAAGCCGGGGCCTTGGTTAAGAGTTGGTACCCTCCCAAACGCGACGCGTTTGGGACCCGGTCTCTTTATAAATGGTTCAAACCAGGTCAGCTGACGCGCAGGTGGTGCCAGTTCTTTCCTCTGCAGCTCTCGTGAGCGGTGTGCAGATGCCTGAAAGGCACGCTGCCGATCTTAAGGAGACGCAGGGCTCCAAAAGAGTTAGCGACCGATGCCAGCCGTTCTTTTGCGGGTTTAGGGCGGGTTTACTGCTGCTTGTGGGTTTAGGCTTGGTTTTGCTTGCTTTCCCATGGGGTCTATTTTGTAACCTCCTTTGTTTGTGATATTATTTTTTGGTGGGGTTCTGGGCTGCCAATTAGAGCGCTCTAGGACTTTAGGTGTTCATGGCACGCTCCCGGATCAACGAATGCAGACCAGTCGCTCCGCTCCGAGCCTTTTTAAAGGTCAGGGCTCAAGTCAGGGCTCGAGAGTCGTGCTCAAGCCGCGCACGACCAGGCGCGCTTGAAATCTCGGATTCGCCGTTTCGAAGGCTGCTAAATGGTAAACTTACACCGACCCCAAAAAAGACACCCATTTGACTCACAGGATTTTGTCCATCCGGTAGAACGAGGGCAACTCTGCAGTTTTTCCTCCTGCTTCTTCCAGGGTTTTGTTCCCTAAACATTGGACGTAGGGGAAGATGTTGGACACGCGCTGCCAGCCAAGGGTTTGCTGGTTGTATGTGCTTGGCTCGCTCGCTTACAATTTTGGTTTGGATGTGTGTGAAGACCACAAGATGCTGGTTTGCCTTTGGCTTGCTTTCAGCCCACAAACAAGCTCGGGCTTCCCCGAGAAGTAAGGGACACCTTTCGTGTGTTTTTCCACCATGGTTCTTGTCGCCGACAGCTTTCTCGCGCAAGCCGCCAGGCAGGACTCCGCCGAAGCCGGAAACAGTGCCTCGGCAGGAACGTGGGAACTTGGGTCTGTCCTTCTGCGGGTCGTCCTTTTTGGGGTGTTTTAAAGAGAAACTCAAGAGATTAGAAGAACATGTTGGGGGTTTCTGCGTCTTTTTTTGAGGGTCACCCAAGTTCTTTTTGTAGGGACACCAAAGAGACAAGAACACCTTGTTGGGGAGGGGGGGGGTCCCTACACAAATGGGGGAAGCCCTTGGTATGGTTCTAAAAGACATGCTTTTTGTGCAGACCCCTACTAAAAAAGAAAGGATCCCAAACACCTAAAACATTATTCAACAACAGTAAAGACACCCACACACCAAACCATTGCAAATCTACGGTGGCTTCCTTTTGCTCCGTTTCGGGGTTCTGTTTTGGACGACTTTTCCTTGAACAGGGGCCAACTTCCTCTGGTGGGTTCCTTGGCAACGTTGACAGGACACCAATGAGCTCGGGGGGGGCAGTTGGGGCAGTTTGGGCGTTTTTCAACACACGGGTTCTATTATATGATCTGGCATCTCATGATCTAACCCAACCACTTTCAGACCGCCAGTCTAGGCGGAAGCTAGGACACTTTCTTTGATAAAAAAGGTGAAGAAAAGGGAAGCGCTTGACATGTCGGGTGAGTCTGGATTGAAAATTAACTCTTTGACACCAAGATTGTCTTGTCTGCAGGAACCATCTTGGGAAAAAGGGACGGCCCGAATTGCGGGTAAAGCCCTTTACTTTTTGGGGTTAGCTTGATATATCGTTCCAAAGTTACCTAAGGGAATCACCCCACGAGTACGGAAGAGTAAGGAACCCGTACTTGACATGGACTAGTAAAACTGCTGACATCTTCGAACACTTCGTCGCCAACTCGCGGCGTTTTGATGTGGCAAGTGACCCGTGGGTGAGGCGGTCGGCGGGAGAGGGGAGAATACTGTTGCTGCCACCGCAGTCCATCGTTGCATAGCAAGAACAACTGCAGTCCCTTAACTTGGGAAATGCAAGACTTGTGCTATGACACGCCTGATTGGTCACTGATTTTCGTCCTTTCGCACCCATTTTAGCCCCCTTGCGTTCACACTCTGCGTCATCTTGCAGATAGAAATTGCCTTTTTGTTGCCAATTGTTGTTCCCAACAAATTGGGTGATTCCCATTTAAGAAGGGCGAGACACGATTTCCAGTTGATTCCCTTTTTCCGAGTCAGGCTGCAGCCAAATTATCGCAGTCTGGGATTTCTCACGCTTGGACACTGAAATCTTTGCTACACTTGTCGCATGTGAGGTCTGCAAGAATCCCGTTGAACGGCTTTGTTGGATCCTAAATTCAAGTCTTTCGCGAGGCGGCCGTCTTTTTGTCTTTAGCGCTAGGGCGTTTGATCGCCCTCATTTTGAATTCTCAAGGTTCTGTGCAAGTTTCTGGGTCCTCCAAATGGTGGAGTCCTCGAAAAAGGGTGCGGCACATGGGCAACACTATTGCCAAATTGCGGTTGCGAGGCCCATTTTGGCCGCGACTCGGCCGAGGTTTTGTTGCCATGGCGTCTTCCTTCCCAACCAACCAAGCCATCGTCGTGGGCGGTGGATTGGGAGGCGATGTTGCTTTGCTCAGCGACTGGTTGAGAACTCGTGTTGGACCCAGGATTCAAGGCAGTTTGGAAGATGGCATCAGGTCGTCTACAGACAATGGTTGTGGTTTTGGTGTTTGCAGTCCCATCAAGCAAGGTTTCGCACCTTGACACGCGAGGCATGTCTGCGGCAAATTCGGTGGTGGAGAATGGTGGCCGGGTGGTGCTGCTGGCCCACAGCTGAGTTGCCCCAACTTCCGCCTGTCAGTCGATGCATCCTGGCCCCTGTGCTCAGGACAAGTCCTCTTTCTGCGGCGGAAACAGCACAAAGGCCACCTCCGGCATCAACGGGGCAGGCGGGTCCTAGCGCGCCGCTGTCTCGCCTCGATTCGCCAAGATTTGCACTGTAACCAACAAGACCCCCCCCCCCTCTCTTCTTTCACCTCAGAGCTCGCGGGGATGTCGCAGGCACCAAGACCCAGAAGGCCAAGGGCATTCCCGACAACGCGGACATCTTCACGCAGGAGCCAGCGATCGATCGGTGCTCGCGCGTGCTCGGATTCGATGCGCTCCTTCGAGGATACGCTGAAGGGAGGCGCCAAGAAGCCAGAACTGGCCAAGCGGCACGGCTGAATCCTTTAGCCTTGAAGGAAAGGCAAGAGGCTTGGGTGTTGTTTTGTATGCAGCCCAGCTCAACCTAGCAGTTGACGTTTTGAGGCTCTTGTGCGTGAACAGCGCCGCTGATGTGGAGCCTCGGCAGAGAAAGGAAGATCCTGAACCGCCCCTCACCTCCAAATCACGTGCCAAAGCACCAATGCCAGGGTAGCTAATTGTGTAGTCAGCCGTCCGTTCGATCAATTCTGAGGACTGGCTGGTGGAGAAGTTCAACTTGGATCTGTCTCTGGTGGCACGCTTGGGTGGCCACTCGCAGCCCCGCACCCACAGAGGTAAGGAGCGATTCCCTGGCATGACCATCACCTACGCCCTGATCCAGATGTTGGAGAAGGCGGGCCGGCAGCAGCAGACAGAGAGAGGGAGAGCGAGAGAGAGAGAAGGCAAAAGAGCAAGCGAGGGAGTGAGAGAGAGTGTAAGTCGTTGCTGAAGCTGCTTGGTCTGCTTGAGCAGGTGGCGGAGAAGACAGACCTGGCGCGCATCATCACCAAGGCCAAGGTCTTCAAGCTGATCCAGGAGGGCAAGGTCTGCGTGGGCTGCGTCTACGAGAAGGGCGGCCAGAACTTCCAGGAGTTCGGGCCCGTGATCCTGGCCTCCGGCGCCTCGATCTGGCTGTTGTCAAAACCAATGGTACCATTTTTGGGGTTTTCGGTGCACCACCCATTTTAGAACCTATTTCAGTGGTGCTTGGGATGTTCACTGGGGGCACGATTTGGATTTTGACCCACCATCTGTGATTCTCTTCAGAGTGGCCTTGGTAGAAATTGTCAGGTCTCAGAGTGGGCGATTGGACATTTGCTTTGCCCTTTTGAGAGTTGGGAAGCGTGCTTTTGGGTTTCGAAGGATCCAGCTGAAGGAACCGGGGAAATGGGTGGGGACCGGGTTTACCGGTCCCACCCCCATCCGCCTCAAGGGGGGAGTTAGAAGGGAAACCAAATGAGTATGGGTCAAAATTAAGCCACCAGAAAAGACCGCAGGTTTTGGTCCTTGGCTCCATGTACATGTTCCATTTTGAGATACCCATTTTTGACTCACAGCACCTGGTGAGTGCATTTGACATGAAAGACACGCACCCAGCAGTGGCTTGAGGCTCAACGAGCCTCTTTCAGAGTGGCAGCGTGCAAAACACACCGCAGGGCTCGTGAAACCATTATACTTCCATTCCGAGTTATCAGTCCGATGACAGTATTGCAAGTACAGATGCCAAGCCACCTGAAGATTTCATACCTATTTAGTGTCCCCCCTCTTTAGCGGACCTTGCATAGCATGTAGACTTTGATCAGAATATTTCAACTTCAACATGTTTTCTCTTTGTTTCTTTTTTTTTTTTGATAAGTAAACAACTACCTACATATATATATATATATATATGTACAATAAATGAAATTGCACGTAAACATGTCTAGGTCCGAGTTTGAATCATTCATGCCGGTGTTTGGCTCGCGATGTTTCTTGGACGGTTCCCTGCAGTGCTGATGGTTCTTGCAACGCATATTGGCATGTTGTGACGTTCACGTTTGCGAATTTCGTCAATGGCATTTCATTTCATGTCTCCCACTGCTTGCATGAAAGGTGTGCACCGGGAATGCTTGAGTCAATTTTGTCTGAGGCGGTTTCGGCGCGGACTTCACCAGCAACTCCCTGCTGGCGCAGTACAGGCCGGACTTGCTGCACTTGCCCACCACCAACGGTGAGCACTGCACCGGCGACGGCATCAAGATGGGCGAGGCCGGCATTGCTTGGTGGCGTAGTTTGATGGCAAGTCCAAGAGGTGGCTTGGTCGGCTGCTGTTTTTTGCAATTCATGGCTCTGTGAGGCCATTGGTGCGAAGAGCATCGACTTGGAGTGGGTCCAGGTGCACCCCACTGGCCTTGTCAAGCCGGACGATGCAGATGCCAAGATCAAGTTCCTGGCTGCCGAGGCCCGCTTTCCTCAGCTTGAGTGTAGATTGGACTTAGTTTAACGGGGATGAAGAGCATGTCGGCAGGCTCTTCGTGGAGTGGGCGGCATCATCCTCAACGCTGACGGCAAGCGCTTTTGCAACGAGCTGGGCCGCCGATGACTCAGGGTTGGGAGTTGGCTCAGGTTGAGGTCAAGTTCCAGCTTCTGAATGATATGGCTTCGGATTGGACATGGGATCAAACATATAGAGGATTCTTTTGCTACATCTTGTTGTATTGGCAGCTGTTGCTACAGCTCCAGTAGTTTGAGGTTAGAATAAGTTGGTACCCGATGTTTTTCTGTAGTCTATTTTAGTAGGGGAACCCTCCCCAATGGCAAGGCTTCTTAACCCATACTCATACTGTGGGGGTGGCTGCGAGATCAAGAAATCGCACCACGACATGATGCTTCACACATCTTGACACCATTGTTGGTATGAACGGGGAGGGTCATCATTCCAAGCTTTCTTAGGGTTTCAATTCACAGTCTTGCGGGCGCCTTTGGGGAGTCCGACCCCCTGCCCAGGGAAAACGGGCCATTGAAACCACAGGGGTTCCAAACCCAAGCCACCAACGCAAACCACTCGGCAAGTCACAACGAGCTCAACCTGACCTAGGTCGCGACTATGTCACAGGCGAGATGTGGAAGAGCAAGCCCCCTTTCAGGCGCTTTCGAACGCACTTTGGTGCAGACCCAAATGGCTGCGTTGCTGCGGAGAAATCAGCTTTGGTGTCTTCAGGCTGTGCCTGAACAAGGCTGCGTCCGACGAGATCATCTGGCACTGCAAGCGCTCGCCTCATCTGAAATCTTCCAAGAGTTGAACTGAAAAGCTCACGACAGAAAGCTGGACGTGGGTTTGTGTCGGTTGGGTGTTGGAGCCCCAAAAAAGGCGGTTTCCCTTTGGTTGGCCTTCAAATCAAGGTGACAGCGGTGTCCTCCAAATTCACCCGCACCCTCAAAAGAGAGATTCTTTGGTTGTCCCGTTCTTGCCACGTGCCAATTAGGCAACGCACACACCCAAGGCACTACACGGGCCGAGGGGCCAGGAACTTAGCCTCGAGTTTCAGCCGCTGCTGCGGCTGGCTGTGGTTCCTTTTCTTCGGGCTCGGGAAACCTGTCAATTTGTGGCCTTTCTTAACACATACACATTTAGCGAACCAACCGAAGCAACACCAGAGACATCAGAAGACTGCGGGGTTGGACGTTGCACAGTGAGGTGATGAAGTCCTATTCCAGCGGTGAGGATCTCGCCAAAGACATGGGCGTGGCTCTCTCGGTGATCGAGCAGACGCACGAGGAGCACTACGCGGCAGCGAAGAAGACGGAGACGCAGCCGGATGCAGGCCCCTGGCCTGCCTACCCGTCTGGTAAGTCCTGGGATGAGGCCAGCGGAAAGACTGGCAGTGGCAAGAAGTTCTACCACAACATCATCCCTGGCTCAGCTGTGAAGAGCGAGCCTTTCTATGTGGCCATCATTACGCCCGTGATTCACTACTGCATGGGCGGTCTGCTCATCGACACTGACTCTGCGTGCGTTGGCCCGAACAACACCGCCATTCCTGGCCTGTATGCTGCTGGTGAGGTTGCAGGCGGCGTCCACGGCAACAACCGCCTGGGTGGCAACTCGTTGTTGGACTGCGTGGTCTTTGGCCGTGTGGCCGGCACGGCGGCTGCCAAGTACATGCTGGGCTCTGACATGAAGGATGTGGATCTTAAGCAGATCACGGGCGGTGGCTTGACGGGTGCAGTGGAGAGCTCCAAGTTGGCGGGAGGCTCCTACGAGGACAAGATGAACAATGCTGCTGCTGCAGGAGGGGCGGCAGCTGCCGGTGGCGGCGGCGGCGGTGGTGGTGGCGGCTACAGCATGGAGGAAGTTGCCAAGCACACCACCAAGAGCGATTGCTGGGTCGTCGTTTCAGGCCAAGTGCTCGATGTGACCAGCTTCTTGGGAGACCATCCGGGCGGCGAGCTCGCTATTCTGACTTTCGCAGGCAAGGATGCCACGGAGGAGTTCAACATGCCTCTTGGGCAGCAGGTAGTAGATTGTCTATGTGGTTGCTTGTACTCAACCTGCTGTTGATTTTTTGATTGGCATGGATTGTCCCACTCCGCACGCAGTGGTGCTGCTGCAGGATCCATCCTCCTGATGTGATTGGCAAGTATGCTCCGGACTCCGTGATTGGCACGATTGGTGGCGGCGGCGGTGGGGGAGCAGTGGCTGGAGGAGGAGGTGGGGGTGCTGTTGCCGGTGGCATTCCTATGGAGGAGGTGGCCAAGCACAGCAGCAAAACGGATTGCTGGGTCGTCGTTTCAGGCCAAGTGCTCGATGTGACCAGCTTCTTGGGAGACCATCCGGGCGGCGAGCTGGCAATCCTCACTTTCGCGGGCAAGGATGCCACAGAGGAGTTCAACATGAGACTTGGCAGCCTTCGACTTGTGCCACGTTTGTGGATGCGAGGCTGGGTCGGAAGCTGTTGAGTGACAGGTTCTTTGCCAAGGATTCACCCTCCTGACGTCATTGGCAAGTATGCACCGGACTCCGTGATTGGCGTTGTCGGCAGCGGAGCGCCTGCTGGTGGGGCTGTGGCCGCCAAGGCAGGCGGTGGTGCTCCTTCCAGGCACGGGGGGAGATGGTACCGCCTTTCCTCGCTTGCCTCAAGGTCATGCCGCTGGTTCGGAGTTGTTAAAAACACGTTGCTGCCGCCCGGATCAATTCACTGGGTCAGGATTCTCTCCCTAATTGGAGCAGGGTCAACGATTCCTTGCTGGTCATGTACAACATTCCTAGCATCCCCAGAATCCAGGAACCCCCCCCCGGCCGCCCCTCCCCGACCACACCCCCGCGCGCCCCACCCCCACCCCCCCACTCCCACCCCCCCACTCCCACCCCCCCCCCCACCCGACATCTCCAGCAACCCGTTGCAGGAAGGACAAGGGCGGCAAGCTGGCGAACCATCACGCCTGGGGCCACCTAGATGGCGACCTTCAGCCCAACTGGCGAGTAGACCTGGAGGACAACCCAGGCCCGGGAGCGATCGGAGCCATGGGGCAAAATGAAGAACCCCCCCGACCCGGCAAACAAAACCCTTCACGCTGCCAGACGCGGCTTGCCTTTTTTGACCTTTGCTCTTCTTTTTTGGCTTCCCATGAGTTTAGGTATAGGAGCCAAACGAGAAAGCCCTCATTTCCGCTCGTCCAGCCGGCTCCGCTTTGTTTAGCCGACCTCGCTGCTCTCCGCTGGGGCTTTCTGGCAAACTGGTCAAACAGGAGCCTGGGTCCAAAGGGATGGCAAAGGCGAAATGAGCCACCTGCTCAAAGCCCGAGGATTGATGAAGGTCAGGAAGGGATATATAATTCCAACCATAAATAGCTGCGGATATCCGCCTTCTTAATTCTTGAAACATGGTTCTGGGTCGACCGTTTTAGGACCAGGTTTTGAGTATGACCCATTTGGGCAGCGAGCCTCAAAGAAACACACCCAGGCTATGAAATTCAATGGGGAACCACCTCAAAAGCGGGTGGGCGGACATGCCACCTAAATTTTGTCCAACGACACTTTGCGGATGGTTTTGCAAAAAGTTTTTTTTTTTTTTTTTTTTAAAGGTATCCTCTTCCAAAAACGGCACAAGGCGGCAGGTCCCAAAGCGGGTCCATATTTTTGAGGACACCCCGCATGAAGCCAGCGCCATGTCTCGTGATGTGTTTGGTTTCGGCACGGTCAGACCCAGCCACGGATCCTCGCCAGCCAAAAGGCCACGTGCCTCACTTAACAGGATCGCGTCCTTGCCGGCATGGGTTTGTGTTTTTAAGGGGGGGCCCCACAACAAGAGGGGGTTCCCTAGAAAAATACACAGCCAAATGGGCGCTTCTCGAAGTACTCTCCCTCCAACAATCATGGAAGCTGGCGTGTTGGAAGTCTATTTTGCTCTTGGGGAAGCCCCGAGGGTAGGAATCGGTCCACTGTTTCTTTTGGGTGCCAAACAAAAGGGGTTCACCATTTTGAGAGAATCCCAACTATGCCGACAGTTCCAGTGAACCTTGAACCGGAGCGCCGGGCGACTTCACGTTTTGTGCGGTTCGCGCTTTGCTAGGATGCATCAACTAGGAAGTTGACCTGCCAGCATTTAAAGGGCTGCCAGCATATAAAGGGCGGTCGGTTCTTCCAAAAGACTGCAATGCAACATTGCAAGAGGTGCGCTGCTTATCAACGTGAAGTCCTACTTCAATGCCACCTGGTTCCTGCTCCTCTCTGTGCTGTACGCTGCTTTGCGGCAGGTAAATACATCTTGTCGCTTGTATGCAGTGTCCTTTATTAACTGAGGAAGTGTGCGCCACGATTTTCACGGCCAAGAACATCAAGATCTCCAATGATCGGCTGGGACTGACCCGCAGCGCCATCTTGCTGATCCTCTTCATCGTGATCCACGCTGTGGGCAACCTTCACGTCTTCAAGGGTCTGGGGCCCCAGAGCGCCCGATGGGCGCCAGATGGGCTGCTTCGCAGAAAAGGGCTGGCCATGTTTCCCCATTTGTTCGTTAGGCCCAGATGACTTCAACGGCTATGGCTACTTCTACGTGCGCTTGTACTGGACGGGCTTTGGTCTTCCTGCCAACATCGTTGAGGAGTACATCCTCTTGTCTGTCTTGCTGCACGTGTTCGTGGGCCTGAAGCGAACCTGGGACATGAAGCTGGCCCTGGTGAATTCGCAGGGCATCAACGTGCTGAACTTGGCGATCTCTGGTCTGATGCTCCTGACCTTCATGACGATCCACCTCTTCCAGTTCCGATTTGGTGACACTGATCAGTTTGGCCCTTACTACGTCCGACCGCCTCCTTACCTCATCAACTTCTGGGGCATCCTGTCGCTGAATCTGTTCTGGACTCAAGACACCAGCATTGAGCCAGTCGGTGTCAGAGACATCTACGCCATTGCCTGAGCTGAATCGAGAGAGTTGCGCATGTGCATGACAATGAGAACTGGTGACTGGGCCGTCTAGGTCAGTTTATAGTTGTTTTCCGTGTCTCGAGCTTCAGGCTTTGGAATTCCAGATCTTCAAGAATCCTTTGTGGTCCTTGTTCTACATCTTCTCCGTAGGCGTCTTCATGGTCCATGCCTGCCTGGGATGGAAGAAGGTGACCCCGGTGCTGGGTATCCCCCGAGGACACATCCAGAAGGTAGAGATGATTGGCTACGCCATCATGATCGTCATGGGCCTTGTCTACATCTCCTTCCCTCTTTATGTCATGGCCACCAAGCCATTCAGCGGTCTGGGGCTTACTGTGCGGAATCAGTTTTGTTCCGGATCAATTTGGGCGTCTCTTGTTGTTAAAGGGTACAAAGGACAACCAAAAAAGGCACAACACACCATTTTGGGGGGGTAAAGACGCTTTCCGGCCACGCCAGACCTCCCCGCTCTCAGGCTACGAAGACAGCATTCAGATTCCGGGAAGAGTTGAGTAGACGAACCCCGCTTCGCCGCTCGGATTTTATTGGCAGTGATCCGATCCTTTCTATGGGGATACACCATCAAAAAGGGTGGATGAGCAAATATCCCCATGTACATGATGTCCACCAAAAGGTTTGCTATTCAACATCACACCCGTACATATTTTGTTTGTCTTGCCTTTGAGCTGGGAGCTGACGCAACCTGTTTGACCCCGCTCAGGATTTCCAATGGCACGACGCTTCCGTGAGCTGTGTCAGACAAAGTGGCTGCTGAAAGCATATCACGTGCGAGTGTCTTGTTTGGGGAATTTGAAGGCCCTTGAAAGGGGCTGGTACAGGGTTTCCTTTTTCCTTTTTGCTACCCCCAAGGTAGACTTAAACCCAGGGGTGGTGCATTTCTCCAAAATGAGAACCCCTGGGTTTAAGTCTACCTTGGGGTAGTCAAAAAAGGGAACCCTGTGCTGGTATGCTCATTCTCTTTCAGGCCAGTTTTTGGTGGGCTGAGTTGTATGGATGGATTGAGGAGATTTACTCGGGAGGTATGCGAGGGAGTTTTTTTGATGTATGGATGTAGTCGACCTGCGTGAATGCACAACTCAATTCAATGGATGGAATCTATGGGTGGATGGACGGACGTGTGAGTGGATGGGCGGGTGGCTGGGTGGGTTGGCGGGTGGGTCATGGAAGCTGAGATGTCTGGAGGTTGGATGGGACGGGACTAGACTTGACGGGGTGAGATAGGCGGAATGGACGGGCTGGGACAGGATGGGATGGACGAACGTGTGCTGGTGCACAGGGTGCTATGATTTTCTTGCCAGGCGATCAAAGTAAAACCCTTCCGGTTTCCCAAGCGGCAAAAGCGGTGCCCTCAAAAAGCAATGCGAACGAGACCCTGCCCGATCTCTTTCCGTGGCGTGGACCACATGTCTCCTCCTCGACCGCAGCCCATTTTTTGTGTTCCGGACCTCCGGGGCCGCAAGCGACGCGCGCTGATTTTGTCCGGCGGAGCGCCCAAGGTGCCGGGAGTGTTGCGGGCGCCATGGCGTCGAGCTTCCCAACGAACCAGGCCATCGTTGTAGGTGGCGGCCTGGGAGGCGGGAAGGGAAGGGAAGGGAGGAAGGGAGGAAAGGCCCAGCTTGCATAGACCAGAAAAGGCTTTCGTCGGAAGCGCGCCCCGTTTTGGGAAGAGTTGAAGCGTGGAGGGCCCCTGACTTTTATGGGTGCAGGGTGAGGTGGGGTGGGAGAAGCTGGCTTGGGACTGATTGTCAAGTGCTTGGCCCGGCAGGCATGTCCGCCGCGAACAGCGTCGTGGAGAACGGAGGGCGTGTTGTCCTGTTGGTTGCGGCCTCAGTTGTTCGGCTTTGTGGCAAGTCTTGCAGGCTCTTGCTTAGGGGAGCAGCAACATTTTCATGTTTGGGGATTTGAACAACTTCTTGTAGAGGGTGTGTGGGAAACCACCCCTGACCTGCAAACCAAGGCATGCATGGCCCCTCATGCGTTGCTTAGGACAAGTCCTCCTTCTGCGGCGGAAACAGCACAAAGGCCACCTCCGGCATCAACGGAGCAGGCGAGATCGCTCGCCGCTCGCCGCGTGCCGCTCGTTGCTGTCTGGCCTCGGATCCCCCCCGCGGCTTCACCTCAGTGCCTGCCTTGGGGATGTTGCAGGCACCAAGACCCAGAAGGCCAAGGGGATCCCCGACAACGCGGACATCTTCACGCAGGAGCGGGCGGGCACCAGGGAGCAAGCAAGCAAGCAAGCACCAAGCGAAATGCCGCGGTTTTTGTCCAGCGCGAAACCACCAGGATCTACGTCTGTTTTGGGGTTTGGGGACGAACCATAGCGAGTCAAGCCCCAAAACTACCCTCGTGATAGCCTGTTTTCCACTGTTGTGGGTATAGACATCAGAAGGAGACCCGTTTTTTTGTAAGGTGCCAGTGAATCCCCGCTTGAAGCCTCTCTCTCGCTCTCTCTCTCTGTCTGTGAGCAACTGGGCGTTTTGCAGTATCGATCCCTGATGTCCATTTTTTCCTCTGGAAATCAAAAGGGGAGCAAACCAAATTTTAGGGATACAGTTCTTATTGGGCTATGATCCCTATGATGTTTGGTCGGAACACGATCCCCAATGGTTGGCATGACTCCCTCCCTCTTGTCCGATGTTACCAAGGGAGCAATGTCCGAACTTGACACTCAGTTCTTGGTGGGCGGGGCGCGGGGGGGGGGGGGGGCATCAGTTCATGCCCCTTTGTGGTGTTCCCAAAATCCGAGCCCGGTCCCGCCTTTGTTTGCTGGTTCTCGGCAAAAATAGCAACACTTCCGGGTTTGGGGAATGAATCGGAAGGGCATCTCTTGTCTGGGAAGACTCTACTGTGAGGGAATGGTTCATGGGGTAATTCCCTCCTTCCCGGAATGGCTGTGGCTCAAAAACATGAATTCCAAAATCAAAAACATGAATTCCAAAATGGCACCAATTGGACTATCATTGGCCGTGGCCCGAGCTCCGAGCAAAAAAAATCCGCCGAGGGATAATCCGCGCCGAATGCGCCGAGCTCAGGACACGCTGAAGGGAGGCGCCAAGAAGCCCGAGCTCGCGAAGCGGCTCGGCCCCGATTTTCAACCAGGGGACTTGGTAGGATCTCTGGTTGGGAAAAAAAAGACCGGTGGCTGTGGGCTAAAAATAGGTACCCCATTTTTTGAGCCCTAGTATGTGGAAACATGGACCAAGACCTGCGGCTCCTTGGTGGTTTAATTTTGACCCATACTCGTGTAGGGGTGTTCTCCCGCGCGAATTGAATCAGTTGTTCATTGAGGGTCCGAAGGTGTTGACAGCAGGAGGATCTTGATCAAAATGGGTGTGGCTCAAAATTAAACAAGAGGGGTTGCGCACGTTTCGGTCCATGTTTCCACATACCAGGGTTCCATTTTGGTACCGGTTGTTTGAGCCACAGCCAAATGCCTAGTTTCAGTTACTCCAAGCCACTTCGCTCAGGGTACTCTACCCGGAGAATAGATGGCTCAAAAAAATGGTCTGTGCCATCTACTTTTCTTCAACTTAGATAATTACACTCCGCGCGCCGGCGCCAGATAATTGGGGGTCAACCGGGATGCAAAATAGATGGCACAATTTTTTAGCCCCCAAAGAATAATTTATCGCTCGCTCACTGGCTCACTCACTCACTCACTCACTCGCTCGCTCGCTCGCTCACTCACTCTCACTCACTCACTCACTCACTCACTCACTCAGTCAGTCAGTCACTCAGTCAGTCACTCAGTCACTCCCTCCCTCCTCCCCTCCCTCCCTCACTCACTCACTCACTCACTCACTCACTCACTCACTCACTCACTCACTCACTCACTCACTCACTCACTCACTCACTCACTCACTCACTCACTCACTCACTCACTCACTCACTCACTCACTCACTCACTCACTCACTCACTCACTCACTCACTCACTCACTCACTCACTCACTCACTCACTCACTCACTCACTCACTCACTTCAGTTTCATGCCGAGTCAGCGCCAGCTGATGTGACAGATAGGGTGTAGGGCGGGCGGTTAAACAAGAAATGTGCAATCTACTTTCACTTCCGGTGGCCAAGTCACGGTTTGTTGCATTTGGAGTTGCGCCATCTACTTTTTGTGGCAGTGCCTCCACAAGGCCGCCCCCAGGCAGCGGGGAGGTCCAGCCACACCAGTTTCTGCCAATTAAGTACGAGATTTTTCCAGGCAGGGGGAAGTCCAACCAGGCAAGCAGAGGGCTGATTTGGCAGGCAGCCTTGCAGAAATTAAGGAAGTGCATCCTTTTTCGGGACGTCCAAGCCGAGATCGACGCCCCATGCGTGGAATTGTGCCATCTACTTTGCTTCGTTTGTGGGAGGGGCAGGCTTGGACATCCCGAAAAAGGCTGCACTTCCTTAACTCCCTGCAAGGCTGCCTTGCCTCTGCTTGCCTGGTTGGACATCCCCCTGCCTGGAAAAATCTCGTGCTTACCTGGCTGAAACTGGTGTGGCTGGACCTCCCCGCTGCCTGGGGGCGGCCTTGTGGAGGCACTGCCCCTCCCACAAACGAACAAAGTAGATGGCACAATTCCACGCATAAACTTGCGAAGCAGCCCAGGCGTTGATCTCGGCTTGGACGTCCCCAAAAAGGTTGCACTTTTTTTGACTCCCTGCAAGGCTGCCTTGCCAAATCAGCCCTCTGCTTGCCTGGTTGGACATCCCCCTGCCTGGAAAAATATCGTACTTACCTGGCTGAAACTGGTGTGGCTGGACCTCCCCGCTGCCTGGGGGCGGCCTTGTGGAGGCACTGCCCCTCCCACAAACGAAGCAAAGTAGATGGCACAATTCCACGCATGGGCGCGAAGCAGCCCAGGCGTCGATCTGCCTTGGACGTCCCCAAAAAGGCTGCACTTCCTTAACTCCCTGCGGGGCTGCTTTGCCAAATCAGCCCTCTGCTTGCCTGGTTGGACATCCCCCTGCCTGGAAAAATATCGTACTTACCTGGCTGAAACTGGTGTGGCTGGACCTCCCCGCTGCCTGGGGGCGGCCTTGTGGAGGCACTGAAACGAAGCAAAGTAGATGGCACAATTCACGCGTGGGCTTGCGAAGCAGCCCAGGCGTCGATCTCGCCTTGGACGTCCCGAAAAAGGCTGCACTTCCTTAACTCCCTGCAAGGCTGCCTTGCCAAATCAGCCCTCTGCTTGCCTGGTTGGACATCCCCCTGCCTGGAAACATCTCGTACTTACCTGGCTCGCTGCCTGGGGGCGGCCTTGTGGAGGCACTGCCCCTCCCACAAACGAAGCAAAGTAGATGGCACAATTCCACGCGTGGGCTTGCGAAGCAGCCCTGCACTTCCTTAACTCCCTGCAAGCCCAGGCGTCCAGTTAAGGAAGTGCAGCTTTTTTCGGGACGTCCAAGGCGAGATCGACGCCTGGGCTGCTTCGCAAGCCCACGCGTGGAATTGTGCCATCTACTTTGCTTCGTTTGTGGGAGGGGCAGTGCCTCCACAAGGCCG